AACCATCGCGTTATGCGGGATCCATGTGCAGTTGTCAAAGTGAAATCAGACAATCGTTGATGATACTGTATTGATGCCGTATTGACGTTCCGGGATTGAGAGTTCGCATACTATATCATAGTTAAGGTTGAATTAGTAATAAATTGATCAATACAGAAGTGGTTGTGTGATTCTTTCCTGAAATCTATGCATAAGATCTGCTTCTGCGTTGAGATTTGAACTTGGTGACCTTAATAAACACACTAATACATACTCGGTAAATGTTAAAGCGATAACGGGGTGAACCGGGGTCTGGTTATCATAACGACTTGCATTATCATAATTACACCCACTCGCATAATTAATACGATTACCTCTCGAATTGGCATAATTAAAATGTGCGTAATTACATAAATTAACATATTTCCGGATAATTACACATTTGGCCAAATTTCATTTAATTATTATTATTTCCACTGAATATTCATAACCCACATATACAACATAATAATTTCACCCACGCACGCATACAACATAACAATTTTCATACCCAACATATACAACAAGGGAGAGGGAGTGATGGTTTGTGGCGGTGGTGGTAAGGGTGGTCGAGGTCTCGTCAGTCTAAGGGAGGGCTGCGTTCCCTTCGCAAGATCCACGTTCGAGTGCCGTTCCTGAGCCGGCTCAAAAGTGCGATCTGCCGTTATCTGGCGAGGGAACAGAAATCGCCAAGGCGTCAATTTTAGCTGCTGGTGAGCGAGTTGCTATCGGGAAAATCGCAACCTTCGTCGTCAACGCTGCTGTATAGCGTTCGAACGCAGGCCGATTGAATCACCGCTCGGGCAGTGGCCCTTCTGAACAGAGATGGGCCACTGCCCATAATGTTAGCCGTTATGCTTATTCCTGTGTTTCAGTGCTGATGATGATGGCGAGTTAAGTTTGCTTTGTGCTTGTTTACCGCTACTTATAACACTCCCTTGATATCTTATTCGAAGCGCTCAAGTCGCTGTGCTGTATTCTGCAAGAATGTTGTGGGCTTGCCAGTTGCTTTTTTAACAATGTGCGGTTGTGCTTGACTGTCATTTTTTTGCTGTCGCATTAAACAGAGCGCAAAGGGTGGTCGCTGCCATTTGGCATGACTGCGAGTGAGTCCTCAATTTTAAACGAGGCCGATACAAGTGACAGCTGCTCTCTTTAGTTTTCTCTCCACCTCGTGCACACTGGAGCTCTGTGTGTGCAGTGCTGTCATGAGATATGAGCAAAATCGCACGCAGTGGATATTCGGTAAGCCCTCGTTTCACGCGGTAGACGCGTTCCTGAATCATGCCGCGTTAAGCGGCGAGGAATTACTGTTCTGAATTAAATTTGCACTCTAAAATGGGCCTGCAGTCATCCCATGGTAGGATCAAGACCTGATCGAGGGTACGCCACTGTGGCGAGATGTTAACTCCCTCGCCTGGTATGCAGGAGTGCGTGGGTTCAATCCCAACCCTGATGACTATATTTGGAGTTTGCGTGTTTCTCTCCCCATGGTCGCGTTGACATTTCTCCGGGTCCTCCGGTTTTTTCATCCACGTTTAGAATCAACATGCGTTTAGAGTATTTGGCTGCTGTACATATCCACATCATAAGCCATTTGAGCTATCATTTGTGGCGAGGTCGCTTCTGAAAAAGAACTACAGAGGTCAGTGGGCCTTACCTGGTAAATGCAAAAATAGTGTAAAAAATTGTAATATTCACTCACCGTGGTGAGATGACGTTCTATCTGGGTGGCGCTTGTTCAGCACTTGCTTGCATTGTGCTGCCACCTTGCCTTCAAATAAGCCATTCTGTGTCTGCCCCCTCTGCTCCCTGTCTCGTATTGGAAACGTATCTACCTCTTGCGCCTCTGAATAAAGCTTGGGTAACTCCTCCCACTTGTTTTCAATTGCCTCACCCCCATTACCTAACTCCATGTTGGCTTTCACATTAGTTTTTCCGCTCATGCCCTATAGGGTTATCTGCAGTTCACATCGCTCGGTCAACAACAGGTCATGATATCCAATTACATTTTCTCCACGAGAAACAGGAATTTGTATTTCATAATTTTACCTCTGCTGCCGTCTGGAACGCTCTTTCTTCTGATATTGGGAAGCCACTGGAGCTATGCACTCCGATTAGCATGGTTGGCTACGTACGGTGCGAAAGACGTTCAACATACATGATACTCTACACACATTTTGTCACATTACTATAATAAGCCAGGAATGTGTGTGTCCCGTGCGTGACATCACTACACCTGAGGCCCACCCCCTCATTAATATTCATGAGGAAGGTCGGGCTGAATGAAATAATTTATTACGCAAAGACGCTTCAAATATGACGTTTCTTTACAGAAAGTGACGGTAAAAAATAAATCTACGCAGCACACTGCGACATCCGTACGTGACGTCACTGCAAAAAAGCCCCCCCCCCCCCCCCGTCATTAATAATTATAAGCGGGTGAATCACACAAGAAAACGTAAATGTACATCTTTCATATTTCAGCTTTCGTCCTAGGACGGGCAAACAAGCTAGTATAACCATAAACAAATATAGGAGTAATCCTCATGTGAGAAAATAAAAAAAACCCACTTTGCAAAAGAAGGGGTGTATTTGAACCTTCTTACACCCCATGCTTCCTGGTGTGATATCCTCATTGCATCACACACAGTGCTTACTCATCGCAAGGTGTGATACATCACAACACTAAATATAACCAAGTGACTTCATCCCTTGGGCAAGACCACCTAAGTGATCCTATCACTCTCATAAAAAGTCAGTCACTGTACTCTGATGTTAATTACTATTTTTATCAATAATTTGTATGCTTTTTTTTGACAGGCCACAAGCGTTTCGCCCTAGATCACCTGCTGAGTTTGGGAGAAAGCCCCTTTGGGTCGGACTGTCTAGGCAAGAGAGGGAGGTGTAGGGAGCTCTCGGGGTCTTGGAGCCCTTCCTGGCCTCCGTGTTTGTTGAGGTGACCAAGTTGGTCGTCTGTTTGGCCACTTTGTTTGTGGCGGTTGACGGTTCAAATCCAGCTGCCGCCTTGGATCAATTATTATTACTACCGCAAGCAAATAATAACCAAGATCCCGTGATGTTCATTCGCAAGGGTAGGCCATTGTGTGCCGACGTCATGGTCCAAATAATACAATAGTTACCCGCAAATTACTCATTTGGGATTATATATATATGGCAGTCGTCGCACCCTTCTGTTATAAACCTGGGAGGGCCCTCTTATTATTTGTGGTAGCCAGGTCGTTTATGAAAAATACGTGAATACCTCCGTGGGCTTTGCCCGGTAGGATGGGGATGGTTTAATTTCATTTGTATGTTTTTGGGTGACTTGTTTACCTTTCTTGTACTTGGCACTACTGTCCTGTTTTTGTACTGTTTGTTGTTGTCACGTTCTGACCACGTGCCCCTACTGCAAATCCGTGAAAAAGAGCTTCATAGCTCATCGGATTCCTCCAACAGTATAACTACAGATTCTGATTCTGAGAGAGAGTCCTTCCCCCTCAGGCTTTCTTGTGTAAACAAAGTGTAATCACAAATAGTCATTATCAAGCGGGCTGCGGTTTCTCTCTGCCTCCGTAACGGTTCCACAACGTCGGACCAATGGAGCAACGCGATCGCGGAGTCAACGGAAAACATTTTGCACGACGTTTTCGGTGTGCTCTGAAGTTAGGCGCTCAAAGCTTGTGCTGTTTAACTGAAGCTTGAACAAAGGCGCTTTACAGCAGAAGTTGCCATCGATTGATCGTTGGTGACTGCTGAGCAATGATAGGAATTTCGTTGGGGGGAGTTGCAAGCAAGTGAACAATATGGTCCGTGGATGTGCTCCATGCTGCTTCTTTTGCAATGTTTAGCTGTCACGAGGGAGCTAACCAGATGTTTTGGGGTATCAGTAGCGCGATTTGGTTTGTAAACTTGTTATTATTTTGGTTTGCCATACAATTATTACAATCTAATCTGTTTCGATCCAGTTCATCACGCTGTTATATACGATTTGTAGGCCCGAGAGGGCCTTTGTTATTGAGCGTGGTCCGAGTTTATTTGTCACAAAACATTCCACGTGGTTGGGGGCTGCGAGTAATCTAAAACTTTACGGAGCCTGCCAACAACTTGCCGCACACTGCAGTGTCACGATGAACAGCTGATCGAGCCACCGAATCCATGGCTTTTTTGGAGCTGCGATATGAAGCCGGTTCTCCGTTTACATCACCACGGCGCACCACATCTCACGGGAACCTCATCTGCAGAGTGGTCGTGACGCATTCTGAACGCGGCTCTGCTTCTCCTATGGCCATGAAGGAGCCTCCACTGTCTCAAGCTTAATACAGCGGTCATGGCGCCACGGTGGCGAGATGTTAACTGGTATGCAAGATTCTAGATTTGAAGTTTTCGTGACTGCAAGGATCCATATTCTTTGGTTTTTTCGGTAAAGTCACGTAGGTGAAAACAAAATAAAACAACAAAATTAAATCACGTGATTTAATTTAGTTTTATTTTGTTTTGTTTTCATCTACGTGACTTTACCGACAAAACCAAAGAGTATGGTATGCAAGAGGTCGTGGGTTTCACCCTGACCCTGATGATGCCTCTTTATATGGAGTTTGTGTGGATTTTTCTCCGATTTCTCCAGTTTTTCCCACCCCCATTTAGAATTAACATGCGTTTATTTGGTTGCTATAAATGTCCACGTGATAAGCCACTTGGTTGAGCTATCATACGTTATTATAGCTAAGTCGCTTCTGAAAAAGAGCTGTATAGCTCAGTGGACTTTACCTGGTGAAATAAAAAAATAGTTAATACAGCCAGTCAAGGCCCCTTCAATGTGTCAAGTTAAACCAACAATCTTAATTTTAAATAATGGAATAATCTTGCATACACTTTATATTGTGAACACGTGTAGGCAGTTGTGTTGTTTGCCTTTTTTATGAGGCTGAGGGGGCGTGGGGGGGTGTTATCGGTGGTTCTTTGGTAAACAGCGTGGGGTGTTTGGCATCTGAAACTCATTACGAACAGACCACTCGCGGCACACTCCGGCACCATCGCCCGCCCATCCAACCACCACGTACCACCCACCATCCCCGGCGTTAGAGCTCTCAAAACTCCCGTGCCATGGGCCGTGGTGGAGACTTCCTCACACCTTCAACGTGCTCGGCCTCGGCTTGGATAACCCGGGAACGCGACACTGCCTGCCCTCTGCCTTGGAGAGGCCGAGATTCGTGATGTTCACTCTACAGAGTAAGACGGCTTCTTCTCTTCCATTCATACCGCTTACGCAGTTAACACACAACACATCGTTATCGGAAACAAGTTCATATCTCAATTCGTTTTTCTCTCAAAACTGTTCACGTGCCAACATTCTAACAAGTGTATTCGGCACCATGGTGTAAAGTGATATCTCCAAGTGTTGTGTAAGTCACTCAATATTCTTCGCTCGCTCTGCTCTCAATAATGGATGCTGCCAGGAACATTAGTGTGCTATGTGCCTTGAGTTACGAGCTAGTGTCTGTGACATACGTACAATGAATTTTTTTCGCACCGTACGTAGTCAACCGTGCTAATCGGAGGTGCGGGGGTTCATGTTACGATCACAGAAGTCTTTGTATCGCTCTGCAAGGTTGTGTTCATGTACAGGCGAGTGTGTATTGTTGAATGGAAAAAAAGCACATTTAACTTGCCAATCCATTGAGCCGCTCAAATAAGGTCTGCAATGCCGGGTGAACTTTAGCACATCACCAGAGCCGGCTGTTAGTCACTGTGTACCTCTCTGAGATTGTGTGTGTGTATAGAGCACCTTGGAGCTTAGGATGAGTCACATTTGCTCTCCGCCCCAGGTGAAACCACGTCGCCCTGCGAGGTGCTGAGCGATTTGTTACCCGAGTGGCGAGAGCTCGCTACGTAATGTGAACGATAAATGTAGTTGGGGCGACAAAGCAGATTGCGGCGATTACAGTCGCCAACTGTTACATTTTATAACAGTGCAATAACCCGTTGAGGATGTCAGTGCGTTAGTGAGGAAATAAAGTAAAATATGAATCACACAATCTAACTACGTCGTTGACATGGGCTTACAGTCGAATAATGTATCATCGGTAGGTTAACAGATTGGGCCTTTAAATTTCGATTTAAAGCTTTCGTGACTGCAGGGATTCATCTTCTTGGTTCTGTTTCTTCACCTGAGGACGGCTGCTTGTGTTGTGGCCGAAATGTCATTAGAATTTTATCGGATTCGTACCCGAGTGGGCGCTTGTATGGAAGAGGCTTGCCTGACGGTGCTGCTGCCACTTGAGCTGCGGGTCAGGCTGTGAGTGAAGCCAGTCTGTGTCATCGGCTGTGTACCATGTGCTGCGTTAATTCACCCTATCCCATTCTGATGATGTCACGGGGGGCCACGGCGGGCGAGATGTTAACTACCTCGCCTGGTATACAGGAGGTCGTGAGTTCGATCCCGACCCTTACGGCCGTATATTTGGAGTGTGCATGCTCTCTCTTCCCGTGGTTGTGTGGATTTTTTTCCGGGTCCTCCGGTTTTTCCCTCCACATTTATAAACACGCGTTTAGAGTATTTGGCTGCTATAAATTTCCACGTGATAAGCCACTTCGTTAAGCTGTCATTTATGGCCAGGTCGCTTCTGAAAAAGAGCCACATAGCTCAGTCATCAGATTGGAGCCGAAATAAAAATTTGAATAAAATTACTTTATCGGTACCAAGGCTCCCACAAGGCAATGCGAGAGGGAGTGTGGCACAGTTTGGCGCCAGCTATCGTAGAGTGCGGTCGTGTCACTATGGTTCTCTGCGGTGAGTGCAATGTCTTGAAAAACAATGATGCTTACGTCCCTCCAATTAAAATTAACGCTAACCGCTTGAGCGTTCCCAGATTCAGCGGTGAACAGGACCCCCACCCTGCAACTTGCAGACCTCTCGTAACGAGAAAGGGTTAAATTCCATTAGCCTGACTCCAGCACGTTAGGTCCCTAAGGGGGGGACAGGGCTGCATTGTTCGCACACCAAAGAACCCGTGCTGTAATGGGGGTTGTGTTTTCCAGCGTGTATTATTCCAGTAAATCGGTGCTCTAGTTAGAGCGCTTGGCTCACGGTTGGAAGGTGTCGCACATTCAAATTACCTGCTGGGGATTGACTCGGCCCATCATTCCTCCGTGGTGAATAAAATGAATACCGCATTATGGGAAGTGAACAGTAGTCGTTGTCAGGGTAATTTGTGCCTACCATGGGAATGTGGAAAGTCCACCACTAGCTCCTGGCTGTAAACCAGGACATGACCCCACGCTTGAGCAGGAAGCCACCCCCGTGCCACCCACGTGTCCCTCCCGTGCCCCTCTCCCCACCCGTGTCTAACGTGTGTGCGTCGTCTGCGTCACCTCCCCGCCCCGTGCACCCTAGTGGTGTGGGTGCAGGACATGACGTCGCAGCACGAGCGGGTGCTGGAACGCCAGGGAGGTGCCGCCACGCAGATCGAGCTGGAGGAGGAGTCTAGCGCCGTGGCGGTGGCGGCTGCGTCGGGCTCATCTCCGGCGCGCTCGCCCAGCGAGTCGGAGCCCTTCTCCTCCGTGCTGCAGAGCTTCGCCTCTGACCTCGACACGCAGGTGCGCGCACTACCCGTCCTCGGCCTGTCGACGCCGGCTCGTCGGCCTCCCCGGAGGAAGCGAGTCCTGTGCGTTGTGGGCGCGTCATGGAACACGGGCCCCCTATGTCCCCCCCTCACCACCCACGGCGGCTATGAGATGTCAACTACCTTACCTGGTGTACAGGAGGTCGTGGGTTCGATCCCGACCTGGGATGCCTGCTGTAAATTTGGAGTAATCCCTTGTTTAACGCTGTTGATGCATTCCTGAAAAGGACAGTCTTAATCGAGGAATGACTTATGAATCAAATTTGCATTCTAAAATCAGCCTGCAGTAATTCCTTGGCAGGACAAAGACCTGATGATATGAGGGTACGCCATGGGGGTGAGATGTTAACTCCCTCGCCTGGTGTACAGGAGGTCGTGGGTTCGATCCCGATGCCTGTTAATTTGGAGTTTGCGTCTCTCTCTCTGTGGTCGTGGGGATTTTTCCCCGGGGCCTCTGGTTTTTCCCCTCCACATTTAGAATCAATGTGCAGTGAGAGTATTTGGCTGCTATAAATTTCCACGCGATAAGCCGATCAGTTGAGCATTAATTTGTGATGGCCAGGTCTCTTCTGAAAAAAAGCGCTACATAGCTCAGTGGGCCTCACCTGGTAAAATAAAATAAAAGTTTTTGTTAAAGCCGCAAGTAGCAAGTCGTGTTACACAGGCCAATGGGGAAACAGGGAATCATCACTCAGCATTGTAAACATTTTAAAAAGCGTAGACCGAGTGATTCTACTTCCTATCACTCCTCTTCCGCTCCCAAAAAGTTCAATAAAATCTTGCTTCCTGAACAATGGGTTTTTAATAAACATTGGAGCACTCTTTACAATATGTGTGTGCACTCTGTACCCCACTAACGTATGGTTTGTATGCTCGTAATATAAAAATATAGAAAATACTTTTTTAAAAACACGCTTTAATGAAATGTACTGTCCGAGCTGCCTCTCCCCCTGCCCCCTTCCCCCATCGCCCCTCCCCTCCTTCCACATCCCCCGCCCCTGGGCGTGACTCCCCGAGGCTTGCCGTGACGTAAGGGACCACGTGGTGATTTACAGGCAACGTTAGTTGCGCGTCGACAATTAGAGCCGTAAACGTGGGCAATTAAAGCCGTAAAAAAGATCGTTTAAAAAAAATATTTTAAATTTTCAATGATGGAATATAGTATTGTCATCAGTATGACACACCTATACCAAGTTTGCAGTCGATACGACATTGGGAATACGGTTGAAATTGAGTTACAAGATTTTAGGATACGACAACACACAGAGTAAGTTAAATCAAAGCGTGTAAAATGTTAAAAAATATGTTTTGGATTTTTTTTTATGATAGAATATCGTATTGTCATCAGTATGACGTAGGTATTTCAAGTTTACAGTCGATAGCACAGTGTCAAGTGTGTAAAAATGTAGTTACAAGATTTATTTTTTGAGGATACAACAGACGGAGTGAGTTAAATAAAAGCGTGTAAAATGGTGATAATTTTACAGCAACCTCTTACACTGGCCCGACTGGTAAACAAGCTGTGTGTATCTATGACGGTATCGCCATCCATCGTGCACAAACATTCCAGTTCGCAGCAGTTGAAACAAAACTCTGCTCATTGGACTTGGCCGCTCTTATGAAACGAACGCATTTTGACTTGGCCGCAACGTAACTGGCGAACGTGGTAGATTGTCAGCATGAAACCATCTACGGCGCTGTTGACTTGACATCTGAGAATCTGTTATTGAATTGTTCAATTGCAAACATTTGGTCTATTCGCAGTAAACAACTTGGGACCCTGTGGGGAGAGTGTGGGATAGGAGGCCGTTCACTTGCCTGCTGTTACAAAGGGAATTGTGAGCCTGACGTTTCGTTTGTGTTGCGAAGGGAAGTCAATTGGTGTGGCTCACGACAGGTTAATGTCATACGGAGGCTTCAGTGAGCAATATTACGATTTTTAAAATTTATTTTTGGATAGATTGTGTCGGTATCACATCACATTTCTCTTTTTCTATAACCTTCCACCACCCAACAGAGCCAATCAAATCAATATTGTATAAAATCGTCAAAAATGTTGCGTGCTTTTCACATTACGATTTGCTGATAAAACAAATAAATCGGTAGATTTGCCCATGACGTTACTATTTGGTTTGATTGTATTATGTATGTATGGTGCAATAGTGGCGAGGTGTTAACTACCTCGCCTGGTATACAGAACTCTGATGCCTGTATATTTGGTTGTTTGTACATTTTCCCTGTGGTGGTGTGAATTCTTATCGGGTCCTCTGGCTTTTCCCTCCACATTTAAAATCGTGTGTTTAGAGTATTTGGTGGCTGCAAATGTCCACGTGTGAAGCCACTTAGTTGAGCTATCGTTTGTGGCCAGGTTGCTTCTGAAAAGCGGCTATATTGCTCAGCAGACCTTACCTGGTAAAATACAAATAGTTAATAGTTACATCTCAAATGTCAAACCGTGACTCTGCGGGGGGAATCGGTCTCTCATCCAGCTCTGTGGGACTGTGCTTACAGTGATGAGAGCGCAAAGCCCTGGAGAGAAAACAACAACAACGTCACATGATGCAGACAAGTGCCAGCAGATAGTGGAGGGTTATACAAGTATTCAAATAAAAAGTACATTAGACCCTATGCAAAGATCTATTCCAAGAGTAACTCATGAATCCTGACAGGTTGTGTGGGCAGCTGCTAGGAATATTGCAAAATCACACCTGCTGCTACCTGCTGCATCATCATCAGCCGGTGTTTGTGTTTTTGCGTTGTAACCGGTGTCGGTCTGTTTGGTCGCTCCCGAACGTGACGTTTATCAGTCTTCGGCTATACATAGTTGCACACGCAGTTTAGACGGCGGTTTACGGAGTTTTCTGTTTTCTGTAAACACGTTCATCAAACGGCGGTGCACGTCTGTGTGTAGCGCGTGTGTAGCAGGTGTTTGAGCTGGATGTTGTGTCAATTGTAAACAGTTGAGTAAGCAGAGCTGCGCTTCATTTGACCCTCGAGCGCGACGCAAATAGCGACGTGCTAGCGTTACGCAGCTTCCGTGCCCGTTACCCTCCAGATATAAATATATCCCAATCGCAGTGTAATCGACACGTGCTTGGCAGACGTGCTGCTGCTGCCGCCGCCGCCGCATTGTTGATTTCAAATGTAATTAAACATTTTATAGTATTGGATTCACCAAGGGGGTAGGAGAGGGCAGTGAAAAGAATGGAGTGTGTGCAAGGGCTTCATCGACTGTGCCAGCAGGTTCCAGGTTAGCCGCGGGTGTCGCAATCCGCTTGAGGACACCGCTGCTATTTCTTAGTTAGTTCTCCGAGCCTGTTGTTGTGAAAGTAGGATTTGGACGTGTCTAATGTTTTAAGTGAACCGTTCAAGAGAGACACGCAAACTCCAAATACACAGCAGGCGTCGGGGTCAGGATCGAACCCACGACCTCCTGCATACCAGGCGAGGGAGTTCACATCTTGCCAGCGCGGAGCCATATGTTACATGGCAGGTAGCATGCACTGATTTTTGCAGAAGGACGTAGCTTACGATGGGATCTGCCAACATCCCCGTTATCCTCTCTCCTCCCCCCGTGGCGACGTCACCGTTGCAGCGTAGTCATTGATTGGCGGCTGTCGCTGTCGTTTGCTGTGCGCTGCAGGACAGCGACTCAGACTCGGAGTTCCCGTCGATCCCGTCGGCCGTGCCGGTCACGGGGGAGTCGTACTGCGACTGCCTGGGCAGGGTGGAGCCGCCCGCACGCTTCCCCGGGGCGCGCTCCAGCAAGCGCGCCCGCGACTGCCGCTGCGGCGAGGATGACGACCGTGCGTGCACCCCCCCCACCCGCTTTACCGCCACCACCGGCATCGCCGGACATGCACGCTACACACACCACACACATGCTTCACACACCACATGCATGCTACACACACGACACCATACACCACACACATGCTACACACACCACACACACGCTACACACCCTACAAACACCACAGCCTACTCCAACCACACACATGCTACACACACCACACACGCATGCTACACACACCACACCCTACACAGACCACACACATAATACACATGCTACACACACCACACACATGCTACACACACCACACCCTACACAGACCACACACATAATACACATGTTAGACACACCACACACATGCTAGACACACATGCTACATACACTTCACGAAAGCTCCAAAATTAAGAATGCTACATACACTTCACACATCATACATCACACACATTTTCACCACACGCACACATGCTCTCCACTTACACACTACATACACCACATGCTACACACGCATGCTACACACGCTATACACATCATATACGCTACAAAAACTCTTACCACACACTCACCACACACACCCTCGCCACACTCTCACCACACACACACACACATGCTCATCACAAACACTGAATGAATCCATGTTTAACACAAACAGCAGGTCCCAGTGTCCACTGGGTGTGTATTACACAGGATCTGGGTTCCTAGAAATCCTCTGTACATTTGCTGCAGGAGGTGCGTGGGTCCAGAGTTATACCAGATACTTGTTGTGTAAGACACTGAGCTATTTTAGGAGCTGAGTACATGAAGGGCACATTACACACACACACATTGTTTTGGTTATACACGTCGATGATGTGCCAGTCCCCGGTGTCAAGCATTTAGCGTGCCACGCTATGAACCCGGCAGCCCGAGTCCGATTCCCACTCACGATTATCTGAACCGGTCTTGGGCCTCCCCTCGGTCGATTCGGCCTCCAATGAGTACCTGGTGCGGTGTGTAAACATCGCCGCTGGGGAGTGGGGCTGGCCACCCACTCCTTCGTGTGCCGTTGATGGTCTTCGTAGGCGCTCCTCGCTAACGGCTCTACGGGGGGTGATCTTTGTCTTTGCAGTGTTTGACTGGGTGTGGGATGACGTGCACAAGTCGGCGGCCGTGGCGCTGGGCTGCGAGAAGCGCGAGGTGAACTTCCACATGGACTACAGCTGTGGCACGGCGGCCGTGCGGGGCTCGCGGGAACTCTGCGAGGGGCAGCACTTCTGGGAGATCAAGATGACGTCTCCCGTCTACGGCACGGACATGGTACGCGGCACAGACGGTGTACACGGCACGGACGTGGTACATGGCACCAATGGTTTCGAGCCCGCATGGCACACAGCTCTGGTACCTAATGGCAGTGGCGTGTGTCGGGCACGCCGTGGGGGGTGGGGGGGGTGCCGGGCTGATGTGCGCGTGCCACTGTCGCGGCAGATGGTGGGCGTGGGGACGGGGCAGGTGAACCTGGACCGCTACCGCCACATGTTCTGCAGCCTCCTGGGCAAGGACGACGAGAGCTGGGGATTGTCCTACACCGGTGAGTCGCACTGGCGGCGCTCAGCTGCGCGACTGGATGGGCGGGCGATGCTGCCGGAGTGTGCCGCGAGTGGTCTGTTCGTGATGAATATCAGATACCCCACACCCCACGCTGTTTACCAAAGAACCACCGCTAACACCGCCCTCCCCCCACAGCCTCATATTCATAAAAAAGAAGGCAAACAACACAATTGCATCCACGTGTTCATTAGTGACGCGTGTAGCATAATAGACTCACTGGATACATCATTGGGCATCAGACCCTCTTGGGGGACGCAATATAAAGTGTAAGCAAGATAACTTCATTGTTTAAAACGAAGATTGCAGGTTTAACTTGACACATTGAAAGGGCCTTAACTGGATGACTGGAAACTGCTGTATAAACGATTTAAACATTTTTAATTTAATTTTACCAGGTAAAGCCCACTGGGATATATTGCTCTTTTTCAGAAGCGACTTGGCCACGAATGATAGCTCAACGAAGTGCCTTACCATCACATGGAAATTCATAGCAGCCAAATTCTAAATGTGAAGGGGAAAACCGGAGGACCCCGGGAAAAATCGACGCGACCACGGGGAGAAGAGACGCGCAAACTCCAAATATACAGGCATTGTCAGGGTCGGCATTGAACTCACAACCTCCTGTATATCAGGCGAGGTAGTGGCGTTCATTAGCAAAATTAACCGTGGACTCTATGTGTGCGGGGTAAGCTAGGTTGAGTGGTGGGGCAGACATTAATACGCTGCTAAATTGAACACTTGAATAATGTACGTGGTTACGTCATGAGGTGAAATGTTAATTTGAAAGTCCCGGCGATGAGAGTGGTTCTGGTCCACAATTACCCAGATGCCACCGTGGACAATATCTTAGCTGTGCTCATCACTCGATAATCACAAGAAATAAAAAATAAGTTGTCTTTTAAAAAGTCAAAAAAAATAGTGACGGGAATGTAGGGGAGGGGAGTTGTAATCACTGTGTTGATCTCTCTTTTGTACTTAAGCGTGGATAAGGAACATCACACCCACACTGCATTTGGTTTGTCCAAACTGACTTTATATGGTTACTGTTACTTTCTTCACGATTTACTTTATGCAGACTAAGTATTGGATCATGATCGGTATGCATTGGCTGCTGCTGTCTCTGAATTAACCATAGCTGCTGACATGGTTTGCTCCTTATTGTTGTTTTTTTAAAGTACTGTTAAATGTTTCAAAGTCATCGTCACAGCCCGTACCGACTGCTTCATCTCAACCACACTGAGTTCAATCACCACACTGCAGATTACAACAACACACCCATTGACCCACCCACTCACCACACTGCAGATCACAACAACACACCCACCGACTCACCCACTCACCACACTGCAGATCACAACAATAACACACCCACTGACTCACCCACTCACCACACTGCAGATCACACCAATAACACACCCACTGACCCACCCACTCACCGCACTGCAGATCACAACAACAACACACCCACTCACCCACCCACTCACCACACTGCAGATCACAACAACAACACACCCACCGACTCACCCACTCACCACACTGCAGATCACAACAATAACACACCCACTGACTCACCCACTCACCACACTGCAGATCACAACAATAACACACCCACTGACCCACCCACTCACCGCACTGCAGATCACAACAAGAACACACCCACCGACTCGCCCACTCACCACACTGCAGATCACAACAACAACACACCCACTGACTCACCCACTCACCGCACTGCAGATCACAACAACAACACACTCACCCACCCACTCACCACACTGCAGATCACAATACACTCACCCACCTACTCACCACACTGCAGATCACATCAATAACACACTCACTCACCCACCCACTCACCACACTGCAGATCACAACAACAACACACTCACTCACCCACCCACTCACCACACTGCAGATCACAACAACAACACACTCACCCACCTACTCACCACACTGCAGATCACATCAATAACACTCACTCACCCACCCACTCACCACACTGCAGATCACAACAACAACACACTCACCCACCCACTCACCACACTGCAGATCACAACAACAACACACTCACTCACCCACCCACTCACCACACTGCAGATCACAACAACAACACACTCACTCACCCACCTACTCACCACACTGCAGATCACAACAATAACACACCCACTCACCACCCTGCAGGTCACATTAACAACTCTTTCTGCTACTTCCCGCACTTTGCCTTACTTAGGAATCCCTCCAAACGCCTCTTTCCCCAAGCTCTTGTAATAACCTTGCTCAATTCCGCTTGACGTGTTGGGCCTTCGGACCTGTGCTCAACAGCTGTTTAAAATAAAAACCTGAAAAAATTAATCCATCGGAAGATTAGGGGATCTGATACGACTTCCTTGACAATTATAGCAACATGCAAGTTGTGTTGCATTGATCCCTAGAACTGGGCTCCACGATGGCAAGATGCTAACTTGCTCACCTGGTATACAAGAGGTCGTCGGTTTTATCCCGACCCTGACGCCTGTTGTATATTTGTAGTTTGCGTGTCTCTCTATCTCCCCGTGGTCGTGTGCATTTTTCTCCAGGCCCTCCGGTTTTTCCCTCCACATTTATAATTAACTTCCGTTGAGAGTATTCGGCTAATGCTATAAATTTCCACGTGATAAGTCACTCCGTTGAGGTATCACTTGTGGCCAGGTCGCTTCTGAAAAAGGGCTACATAGCTCAGTGGGACTTACCCGGTGTGGCGCGTGTTTCCCCCCCAAGGCCTACTGTACCACAAGGGAGACAAGGTGCACTTCTCCACGCGCTTTGGCCAGGGCTCCATCCTGGGCGTGCACCTGGATACGTGGCACGGCACGCTCACCTTCTACAAGAACAGGAAGTGCCTGGGTGAGTGCGGCTCCCCCCCACGGCGTCCTGTCCCCGTGTCGCACTGCCGCCCGATCTGCAACGTCGCCCAGCAATTCTGGCGATGATGGCGCTGGCTCGCGTGTATGTGTGTGTGTACGTTGAACTTCTTTCGCACCGTACGTGGCCAACCACACTAATCGGAGGTGCAGGGGAAGAACAACAAACTCAACACAAAAAGCAGTTCTAAAGAAACGAGTTTTTAATCTAGATGATTTAAAAGTGCATTGCTCCAGTGGCTTCCTAATATCGGAAAGAACAGCGTTCCAGACGGTAGTAGAAGCGCATCTTAAAGCACGCGATGTGGTAACAGGCTTTGTTCTATGGCCAGCCAAAAGCTGCTGCGAGGATGATCTGAGTTTGCTTGACGGTTAATGCTCCTTGACGAGGTCAGCAAGGTATTGTGGTTTATTTGTAGTGAGCACTTTGTGTGCAATGAGTGCGACCTCAACGTTGCCGCGTATGGTGGCATTTGCCGCTCTACGGAGGGGTCGCTTTGTGAGCGCTGTGAGCGCTGTGCACGCTGCGTGCCGATGGATCACTGGCGATGGGTTTTGTGAACGCATCGGTAGATGACACAAGGATGGTGCTGCTAAATCGTATTTACAGTGCTTCTGTTTGAAAAAATCAGAAGTGGCTGTTGGTGGGGGAAGTCCATGGGGCACCGTAATGGGTACAACATAACCACGTACGGGAGCAAGGAAAGAGACGGGTTAGGCATAGGGTTAAAGCTACAGATTGGCTGCAGTGCTCTTATCCAGAGCAGCAGTGTCACACTGCAGCGCCACTGGTGCCACTTCTGTTGACACCGCTGGGGCAAAGCGGGACGTGTGCTCCGATCGGCACTCGTCCCTAGTCTGGTGGCTTGCCGGCTACTGACTCGGCTTATGGTGGACTACGCTTGTTTGTATGTACGGTGAACTTCTTTTGCATACCGCACGTAGCCGACCGCGCTAACTGGAGGTCTCTGCTCGTTGTCGTGGTCCGTGCCTCTTCCCTGTGCCCGTCCCCGCCACTCTCCGTGTGTCCGTGACCGCGCTGGGCCAGGCGTGGCGGCACGGGGGCTGCAGAACAAGCGCCTCTTCCCCATGGTGTGCTCCACGGCCGCCCGCAGCAGCATGAAGGTAGAGCGAGCACCCCCACTCTGCGTGTGTGCGAGATCTTGTTGTGACCCCCGTAGGCTTTGGATATCCCGCGGTTCAGAATATGTAGAATACGATAGAGCATCGGTTTTCAGAGTACGGTCCCCAAAACCACCAGTGGTCGGTGGGGCTGTGATTCAAACGCCTAAAAGGTTTGAGAGACGCTGATATAAGTTGATGGAATCCCGGAGTACAAATGATATTGTAGCAATATTAATCTACCTGTAGAAATTATTTACCATTTGGATCTCAGTGTACAAATATCATGAGTCATGAAACCCCCCCCCCGCCAACGTTTCTCACAACCTTGTTTCCAGTTGGCACAATGACCGGTATGAAACGATAAGAAAGGCAATCGCTCAAGCATTGGACAATCAGTTTGTCAGTGAAGTTATTCACTTCATGGTTCACCTCTTCAACCATTCCACTCGTAATTTGGTTAATTCCATTTGGAGGAATTACTGAATACATTTAGCTCAATATTCATAAAAATATGCATGTGATACAATGCATTATTGCTTATGTGCCACAGTGTACGAGTTATTGTATTCATCCACAGAACAAAAATCTGCTCTTTGTCGGCGTTGGCCACTGTCAGAAAAAAATGCTTTCTATGCACTTACATATCCAGCTGTTAATTGCGAGTGACAGTATGGAGTTGATTAAATCGTACTTGTTTCAAAAGTACATGAAGTTCTCCTTAGTAGGACGACAGTGGTGGCGTGAGAGGCCAATGATTGTTTAATTAAGAATGCTTTGGGCTGTAGCCAATGGTCTTGCATTGGCTCATGTGAATACACGGTGGTCTGTGGATGTACAAAGCTCATAGTTTAAGCCTTGCCCTCTGATTGGCTGACCGGAGTTTCCACGCGTTCCTCCCCATGCATTCCCACGAGGAATGCAGCACTCGGCATTGTACTTCAGCACCCTAGGAAGACGTGGTGTTGTAAAACACACATTTTCCTGTTTGTGATGGGGTTTCTCATCATTTTACAGAAGTTTTTGGTTTTGAAACACGTGTGTGTGTGTTGTACGTGGGTAACTGTAGTGTTATCTTTGTTGTACGTTCTAAGGTGTTTTCACATTTAATATTTCTAAAACGATGCCTGTAACCATAAACATTAATTTGCTGAATGAAAACACAAAGCACCAATGCACCACAGACGCTGTCCAAGCGTTGGGCGCCAAGATGGCGTGATGTTAACTACCTCGCCTCTGGTGTACAGGAGTCGTGGGTTCGATCCCAACTCTTGACGCCTGCTGTATATTTGGAGTTTGCTTATTCTCCCCGTGGTCGTGTGTTTTTTTTTTCTTCGGGTCCTCCGGTTTTTCCCTCCGCATTTAGAATTGACATTCGTCCAGACTATTTGGCTGCTATAAATGTCCACGTGATAAGCGACTTTATTTTAGTTTTCAGTTGACCTACGACTGACAAGCGATCGCGGTCTTTCCCCTCTTACCGGCGCCGCTCTCTCTCCCACCCTCTCTGCATCACCTCCACTACCCCCCTCCCCACTCTCTCTGTGCGTCACCAGCGCCACTTAACCCCACTCTCCCTGCGCGCGACGCCCAGGTCATCCGCTGCCGCTCGGCGCCGACGTCGCTGCAGTTCCTGTGCTGCCTGCGGCTGCGTCAGCTGATCCCCGCGCACAGCGACGCGCTGCAGGTGCTGCCCCTGCCGCCGGGCCTGCGCCTCTTCCTGCGCAACAACCTGGGCTGGATCCTGTCGCTGTGCACACACGGAGCGCGCGGGGCGGACGACGGGAGCGGCGGCGACGACGACGGTAGTGGCGGCGGCGGCGGCAGCGACGACGATGACGACGGCGGTGGCGGCGGCGGCGTTGGGGACGCGGCGGGCGTGGCGCTGGGGGACCAGACCCGCGCGGCGCAGCGCAAGAAGTGTCGGCTCAACTGAAACTTTTTTTTCGTTCCCACCACCCACCACCCGCCACCCGCCGACGAACACCGGGTCGACGCGAGGGCTGAAGAAGGCGTCCCCTTCTCTCCTGTTTTTAAAAAACAAACAACAACAACTCTGAAGGCGGGAGCATTGGTTTGCAGCATGCGGACCGGACTGCGCGTGGAAGAGGGGGGTGCCCGTGAACTTTGCTAATTGAACATGCCGTTTACAATGACGTTTTGCTCGTGGATGTTTTTAACGTATATTTTCTATTTTTTCATCTACTTACGCGGGGTATTTGGTCTTTGAAATTATGTTTTTTCTCAAACTCCATCTCGCAGCCCCATTTTTTTCCCCCCGTGATTAACCAACAGGAATGTTCAAATGTAAATATTGTAATCTTTATGTCGTTGACATTTCTGTCGATTGGTAGAAAATGGAACTCGTGTTTGGGGGGCCAAAAGCATGGGAGCCAGAGGGGGGGGGGGGACCCCTTGTCCACAGGGTGCGGAGACATCCACAGAGCCGCTGCCTTCCTGTTATCACGTTGTACTCTAAACGCATCGCAAAACAAGACCCCTGCTAGGGTGCACACGTCAGTGCCATATACGTTGACAATCGAGGTCATACGCAGCATCGTTGGAGACCTGGGGGCAGTTGCCATGCCCATTAAGGGGCCTTGAACGAACGAATTCAAATATCGTGTCGTTGGAAGCGCAATTGCTTGCTGCCAGTTGTTTCCTGGTTTATATAGTCTGCGTTTTACAGAATATAAGTCCTTTTTTTTTCTTCAACATTTTGGTCTCGAACTGAATGGCGACGTGTTTTAAGCGAGCACCTTTACAGGATTCCTGTCACAGCATTCTCAGATGAATGAATTTCCTCGTTCAAAATTTCCCAAACTTAAATTCCGCGCAAGGCCGCCCTTGCGGTTCTTTTAACGTTCGTCAATCTCCTTCATTCGATGCAAGTTCAGTCGTCAAATGCCGGATGTGTCCGATGATTGGCAGCAAATTAATCCGATAATATGCACCGATTCGATGAAGATAGACCTTTGAACTTGCACTCCTGTCACCTTGCAGCACACGGCATGCACTTGAGATGTCTATCTTAATTTAATTTCACTCGCATCGCTAGGGATGCGGTCTACCAATCGTCGGGTGCACGAAGCGTGTAAATGCAATTTGCATTCGAATTGAGGGATTGGTTCACGAGGAAACGTGTGTGTGTACTATAGTTGTCATGAGGAAAGGAGTTTGGAAAATCCTGCCCTCTCGTGCATTTTAATTGAAATAAATGTTAATTTATATGTAAGTCTTTCCTTGAGTCGCAAGACGTTTTCAGAAGCACTCCCACATTGTGTGTTCGGACAAAAATCCTGCCAAGCAGTTTGTTCCTCATTTTCAGAAGGGGGTGGGGAGGCGGGGGGGGCACTTTCGCCGATAAGACATCATCGGTGCGAGGGCCGCCATCACCGCCTGCAAGGGGTTGTTTTCACATTTGTGTATTGTCGGGAGGCCGCCAGTGGCCCAGCGGTGGGGCCTCGCAACGGAGACCGCCGCTGTCAACAGGGATGTTTCGTACGTGGGGGGTAAGCTGGAGAACCTGGGGAAACCCACACGCGCCACGATGGTAAGTTGAAGATCGCGGAGAAAATCTGACGCACAACGAGGGGGCGGCAATCGAAGTTCTGCCATCTCCTGGCCTCCTCAGTCCAGCAAATGCCGGGAGTGTTGTGACACACACCGATCCCTGCGTTGAACCAACCAACCAGCCCCTGCGCGTGGTTTGCAGACTCCCTGCAGCGGCGCGCGCGTCGAGGAAGGCGAATGGGAGAGAGTTGTGCGGTGTGTAAATTGGGCCTCAATCTCGCTCGGAGAGGGGTGTTTTCAGAGAAGCGAATATAGATTTCGGTGAGCGACCTTTAGATCGGACGCATGCGTGTAACTTGCTTCACAACGTACGGAGTCAATCGTGCCAATCGGAGGAGCCTTACTCCTGAGCACTTGCCACCCAGCTGACGAGCAAAACCACGCTTCAAGCTCGGCCTGTGTAGCTGATGGTAGCCGTTGCTTTAACACCCGGTGAGTATAGATCGTCAGGTTCCTTGTTTTGAGACGTTTATTTAAATGACTTCACGCCTGGTACACTGGGCGTCAATACATCCATCGTATTGTCCTTCCTTCCATAATGTTCTTATTGGCATCTATTATTTGAAAGGCTGACGTCAGGTGTCCACTGTGAAATGTTTTTTTAGTATCTCGTACTATAAGGAAACACCATTGGTACCTCATTTGCCAGTAAAAAATATAATTGTTTTTTTACCCTTTTATCTGGCAACAAAACTGACACCTTTTTTTACGAGGAGTCATGTTTGCATAGACCACAATACCTGCAGTCATAATGTAAACAAAAAACATAACTCTGATAATGTATGCACTGTCCTTGAAGTTGATTGGTCCACACCCGAGACAGCTAGAGCCTAGTCTCACATGGGTTGGACCAGATGACGCCAAAAAGCTCTTCGGCGTCGTGGTCTTCTAGGACGTGCTGTGCACGCTCGTTTCTCCGTCACAGTTGCAGTGTTTCGCAGATTTCCCTTCGTGCCCTCAACGGCACGGAGATGCGCAAAGCGGTGCACCGACTCCTCCTGCTGCTGCTGATGCGCACACGGGCAGAGTACGACCCGTAGACCCCTCGTCAACGTAATCGAGGCAGATGCTTCACGCAGCGGTACAACTTCGTTCACGGTGGCAAATCCAGTGCCTTGGGTTCTGACACGGGGGGGGGGGGGTTAGCAAAAGGACCCAGGTGGTGTGTCAAAAGTACCGGGAGGTTACAGTAAAATACGCGTGCATGGCAAAGTGTAGGTTGCCATTTCGAAGGACAACATTCGATTAAAAGAGCTTGTTTGCACAAATTCCAGGATGGTGCTGCAGCATCCATCTGTTATTGGTAGCTTTTGAGTGTTTTTCGTGACGCGTGCTTTGTAACAACCTTCCACTGCATAGGCCAGGGCTTCTAAAAAGTCCCAGCCCTCAACCAAAGCGCACCTTTTCACGCTGACCATTATTTTCCTTTCAATGACAAGCTGTCGTCTCTGGTTGCACGCACCTGAGATGTTGACTATCTCGCCAGGTAGACGGGAGGGCGTGGATTCGATCCAAGCCATGACGCCTGCTGTATATTTGGAGTTTGCATGTCTCTCTCCCCGTGGTCGCGTGGATTTTTGTTTGGGACCTCCGATTTTATCCTCCATTTAGAAACATGCGTTTCGAGTATTTGGCGGTGTAAATTTCCACTTGATAAGCCACTTCGTTGAGCTATCATTTGTGATAGCCAGGTCGTTTCTGAAAAATAGCTCTTTATCTCCGTGGGCCTTACCTGGTAAAATAAAATAAAAAGTTTAGATTGCTGAACATAAACACGTGTCCACCGTGGTTGGTAGGTGAGGGCTGAAGTTTTAGAAGCCCTGTGCCCATCCCGAGTTTTGGATTTCCTCCATCGGTAGAAGTCCAGTCTCTTTCAGTGATGCAAGAGGTCTGTTATTAAAGTTGTGTCATGCCGGGCAGTGTAACAATGTGAACCCGCTTAATCTTCACTGCCCTGGGATGGCATTGTCACCAGGCGAGATCGAGGGTGTCCTGTCGGATGAGTTCCACCAAATCCCAGATCACGATTGGATTGTACGTACGTTGAACTTATTTCGCGCCCTACGTAGTCAACCGCGCTAACCGGTGTTGCGGGGGAAAGGACAACAAACGAAACGCAAAAAGCAAATCGGAAGGTACCGGTTTTCGATCTAGAATTTATAGAACCAGAATCACTTCGTGTGTGTTGGACTTGACACTCCTCTGGATCTCTCCCTACAAAGCACCTTACATTAATTCCTAAGGTCATTACAACAGCACTTAACCCTCTTTGCGTAGTTCAAGCTCTCTAAAGGTCTCTAAAGTTGAACGTGAAACATGCGAACACCTCCGCTGATGATGCTCTCTATTCGCTTTAAAGCAAAAAATTGTCCCTGCAGACAAGTAAATAATGTCCAAGAAGCGATGTTAATGTGAAATGTGTTATTCGTGCCTCATGGGAAATATCTTTACACATTGGACGCCCCATTATGGCTTCAATTAGCACAACATCCTGATAACCCCCCTGCCGTAGCGAGCTGATGGTTAGGTCAGGAGACGCGCAGCATCTATACCCATTCTATCTATGCTGCTCTCATTTTCAACAATATATATTAAAAGATACCGTTTAAATCATTGGGCGTCAAAATGCCACCGCATCTCCCGAGGCTTCACGGGAGAAAGAAGAAGAGAATTAAAAAAAAAGGCTTCGTGCATATGAACACACGTGGTCATCCAGAACGGACCGCACAACAACGTTTTAGGACGCAACGCCCGATCCACACACACGAAGGAGACATCACAGCGATGCGACATTACTCCGCTACTGCCCCTTGACGCGGTTGCCTGGCCTTGACCACCTCGAATGTGAACCGTACGAAAGTGGAAGAATCTGCTGCTGATGTGGCTGCATGACCGCAGTCGTTCCACTGCGCGGGGCTGAAGGGGCCCACGACCACGACCCCCCTTCCCAGCGGGCTCTGCAGTGGCCGGCTCGCACCTTGAGGATTCCCCCCTGATTCGGCGAACGTGAGGACCACGGCACTTGACCTCCTGAACCCTTGCACTGCGAGACAGCTGCCACGTGAGTGCTCCACGATTCACAGCCACGGACGCCCAGAGAGGCACATCGTCCATTCACTGTGCAGCTCGTATAGAAGAGGGCATTGCACATTAATACTGGTAGGAACCTCATGGTTACACCAGCCCACAGGGGATTATTGTGTCCGTCCGTCCGTCGTGCATCCAAAAATGGGAGGGGTGGGGCTGGGTGGAGAGGGGGGGTGAGGAGGAGCTGGGTGGGGAGGGTGGGGAGGGGCTGGGTGGTGAGGGAAGGGTGGGGAGGGAAGGGTGGGGACGGGCTGGGTGGGGGGTGGGAGGGGTGGGGCTGGGGAGGGGCTGGGTGGGGGCTGGGTGGGGGGTGGGAGGGGTGGGGCTGGGTGGGGAGGGGCTGGTCACCCCGTGGTGCCCTTATAAAACTCAACGTTTAACCTACTCACGCCGGCTTGTGCCCGCCCTCACAGTCGGCCATATTTGTGTGGGAGGGGATGGGGGCGGTGTTTGTTACCCATCTCCCCCATCAGCAGCCAGGCGCGGTCATCAAGGTTGGGTTGTATCCCGTCGTGACGACAGCTCACCACCACCACTCACCACCACCACGACTCACCACCACCACGACTCACCACCACCACGACAGCTCGCCACCACCACGACTCACCACAGCCTCACCACCACTCGGGAGTTTCCACGTGCAGAGCTGCTTCGTGCAGAGGGTTTACCTCCAGACTCTGGCAGCAGCCGCTGCGGGTCCCACGCGCTGGAGACGACCGCCGGTAAAGTCGCTCGGAACCCGCCTCCACCCCCCCCCCCTCGATTAACCCCGCGGGGTCGGGGTCGTGCGGGCCGGCCACGTGGTGTTGGGGCCGAACACGTGGTGTTGGGGTCGGCCACGTGGTGTTGGGGCCGGCCACGTGGTGTTGCGGCCGACCACGTGGTGTTGTGGTCGGCCACGTGGTGTTGTGGTCGGCCACGTGGTGTTGGGGCCGACCACGTGGTGTTGTGGTCGGCCACGTGGTGTTGGGGCCGGCCACGTGGTGTTGGGGTCGACCACGTGGTGTTGGGGTCGGCCACGTGGTGTTGGGGCCGAACACGTGGTGTTGGGGCCGGCCACGTGGTGTTGGGGTCGACCACGTGGTGTTGGGGTCGACCACGTGGTGTTGGGGCCGGCCACGTGGTGTTGGGGTCGACCACGTGGTGTTGGGGCCGGCCACGTGGTGTTGGGGTCGACCACGTGGTGTTGGGGTCGACCACGTGGTGTTGGGGCCGAACACGTGGTGTTGGGGCCGAACACGTGGTGTTGGGGCTCGCAGCGTGGTCAGGCTGAGTGCAGCAGCTGTGGTCAGGGCCCATGGCCCTAGCATCGACTGTAACTCGTGTATAGACTGTAGCTGTTTCATAGACTGTGGCTCTATCTCAGACTGTAGCTGTCTCATAGACTGTGGCTCTATCTCAGACTGTAGCAGTCTCATAGACTGTGGCTCTATCTCAGACTGTAGCTGTTTCATAGACTGTGGCTCTATCTCAGACTGTAGCTGTCTCATAGACTGTGGTTCTATCTCAGACTGTAGCTGTCTCATAGACTGTGGCTCTATCTCAGACTGTAGCAGTCTCATAGACTGTGGCTCTATCTCAGACTGTAGCTGTCTCATAGACTGTGGCTCTATCTCAGACTGTAGCTGTCTCATAGACTGTGGCTCTATCTCAGACTGTAGCAGTCTCACAGACTGTGGCTCTATCTCAGACTGTAGCTGTCTCATAGACTGTGGCTCTATCTCAGACTGTAGCTGTCTCGTAGACTGTGGCTCTATTTCAGACTGTAGCTGTCTCATAGACTGTGGCTCTATCTCAGACTGTAGCTGTCTCATAGACTGTGGCTCTATCTCAGACTGTAGCTGTCTCATAGACTGTGGCTCTATCTCAGACTGTAGCTGTTTCATAGACTGTGGCTCGATCTCAGACTGTAGCTATCTCATACACTGTGGCTCTATCTCAGACTGTAGCTGTCAGACTGTAGCTATCTCATACACTGTGGCTCTATCTCAGACTGTAGCTGTCTCATAGACTGTGGCTTTATCTCAGACTGTAGCAGTCTCATAGACTGTGGCTCTATCTCAGACTGTAGCTGTTGCATAGACTGTGGCTCGATCTCAGACTGTAGCTATCTCATACACTGTGGCTCTATCTCAGACTGTAGCTGTCTCATAGACTGTGGCTCTATCTCAGACTGTAGCTGTCTCATAGACTGTGGCTCTATCTCAGACTGTAGCAGTCTCATAGACTGTGGCTCTATCTCAGACTGTAGCTGTCTCATAGACTGTGGCTCTATCTCAGACTGTAGCTGTTTCATAGACTGTGGCTCTATCTCAGACTGTAGCTGTCTCATAGACTGTGGTTCTATCTCAGACTGTAGCTGTCTCATAGACTGTGGCTCTATCTCAGACTGTAGCAGTCTCATAGACTGTGGCTCTATCTCAGACTGTAGCTGTCTCATAGACTGTGGCTCTATCTCAGACTGTAGCTGTCTCATAGACTGTGGCTCTATCTCAGACTGTAGCTGTCTCATAGACTGTGGTTCTATCTCAGACTGTAGCTGTCTCATAGACTGTGGCTCTATCTCAGACTGTAGCAGTCTCATAGACTGTGGCTCTATCTCAGACTGTAGCAGTCTCACAGACTGTGGCTCTATCTCAGACTGTAGCTGTCTCATAGACTGTGGCTCTATCTCAGACTGTAGCTGTCTCGTAGACTGTGGCTCTATTTCAGACTGTAGCTGTCTCATAGACTGTGGCTCTATCTCAGACTGTAGCTGTCTCATAGACTGTGGCTCTATCTCAGACTGTAGCTGTCTCATAGACTGTGGCTCTATCTCAGACTGTAGCTGTTTCATAGACTGTGGCTCGATCTCAGACTGTAGCTATCTCATACACTGTGGCTCTATCTCAGACTGTAGCTGTCAGACTGTAGCTATCTCATACACTGTGGCTCTATCTCAGACTGTAGCTGTCTCATAGACTGTGGCTTTATCTCAGACTGTAGCAGTCTCATAGACTGTGGCTCTATCTCAGACTGTAGCTGTTGCATAGACTGTGGCTCGATCTCAGACTGTAGCTATCTCATACACTGTGGCTCTATCTCAGACTGTAGCTGTCTCATAGACTGTGGCTCTATCTCAGACTGTAGCTGTCTCATAGACTGTGGCTCTATCTCAGACGGTAGCTGTCTCATAGACTGTGGCTCTATCTCAGACTGTAGCTGTCTCATAGACTGTGGCTCTATCTCAGACTGTAGCTGTCAGACTGTAGCTCATGTCTAGACTGTATCCTACAGTGACCCACGTCTGTAGACTTGTGTAGTGGCACTGTAAATGATCCACACTAAAGTTGTACAATATCACAGTAACAAGGGCCGCCTTTAATATGTTAATTAGAGGAACGTACAGATTGTAGCACCCCCCCCCCCCAATTAATTGACCCCTGATGTGTTTTAGCCTTTGCATATGAACCTCACAAAAAAATGAAGTTTTAGATAATTAAATGTGGGGGGGGGGGGGGGGGGTCACAAGACACCTGGACCACCGTGCACAATAAACTCTAAGCTCTTGCACCCAGCGCAGCTCCAGTGTCGTCTGGTCGTGAACTCGTGACCTGTGGTCGTGTGCGGCTTCTTACACCCAACCACGACTCTCTCGTCTCTTTAGATGTTTCTTTAAAGTCAGAGTGCATTCGATGCTGCGGATGTGCAAAGGGATAAAATAATAAATTAAATTTTTGTTGCTATTTCATTTATACCTGATGACGATTGCTTGTGTTGCAATCGAAACGTCGTATGCTATTATTTAATTTATTATTTTATCTTTATATGTGACTTTACCGAAAGAACCAAAGAGTAATTCCTGCAGTCACGAAAGCTCCAAATTGGGATATAGAATTCCAGGTCGTGTGAGTGGGGGTCGTGTGGGTGGGGGTCGTGTGAATGGGGGTCCTGGGGGGTTCAGGGTCGTGTGGGTGGGGGTCAGGGTCGTGTGGGTCGTGTGAGTGTGGGTCGTGTGGGTGGGGTCATGGGGGTCAGGATCGTGTGGGTGGGGGTCGTGTGAATGGGGGTCCCGGGGGGTTCAGGGTCATGCAGGTGTGGGTCGTGGGGGTCAGGGTCGTGTGGGTCAGGGTCCTGTGGGTCGTGTGAGTGGGGGTCGTGTGGGTGGGGTCATGGGGGTCAGGATCGTGTGGGTGGGGGTCGTGTGAATGGGGGTCCCGGGGGGTTCAGGGTCATGCAGGTGGGGGTCGTGGGGGTCAGGGTCGTGTAGGTCCAGTGAGTGGGGGTCGTGTGAGTTTCCACCGTGCCCTTTGCCCTCCCACCTCCTCACAGGTTTAGCGCTTGCCCCGGCTTGGCCACCGTGCCCATGGCGAGATGTCTTCCTGCATCCTCGCTCCCTTCTCCCCTCCTGCCGCTCCCAGGCAGGTCACCTGCGTGTGGCTCGAACCTGCCCGATGCATCCAACCCTCGTGCACTCGAGTGGTCGTTAGAACTATCTCTGTGCACGGCGTGTTTTGTTTTATGTCACTTTGTCAAGGACTAACGCCACCTTCACCCGAGACCACTGGGAACTGGGCTTATATATTTGGAGTTTGCGTGTCTCTCGAACCTCGTGGTCGCGTGGATTTTTCTCCGGATCCTCCGGTTTTTCCCTCCACATTTAAAAACGTGCATTTGGAGTATTTGGCTGTTATAAATTTCCACGCGATAAGCCACTTCGTTGAACTATCATTTGTGTCGAGGTCGCTTCTGAAAAAGAGCCATATCGTTCAGTGGGCTTAACCTGGTAAAATAAAACATAAGTTTAAATAGTTTCATATTGGTTCTCCCAAATATGTTCTTACCAGTGAAAGTGTGTCACCCCGCACCTACCCCTGACTGTTATTTGTACCCCTGGATTAGGTGCTGTTTTGGTTAGGTCACAGAACCGAGCGGTATGAAAGAATTCAATTATACCGATAGCGAACTGGACCACCCGTTTCACAAGTAGGCTTGAAGCTTCTCTTAAAATCAAGGTTTGAGTTGAAAATGCACGAATATGCTTGTACCTTAACAAACATTTTGTTAGAAAAAAAATGTAAGGGGTACAAATATTCAGAAAGGGGAACCAATATTCCCAAAGATTGCCTCCTGTTGGGAATTAATATTCACTTGCCTCCTGCTCTGTTCGGCTCCAGAATGATGACCAGCAGGGCTCAAGCCAGCAGGCCCCGTACTTCATGAGCCACGAGGCGGTGTCGACTCGGTACCGACAGCGATCGGAGTAATTGGGTAGTGTGGTTCTGCATGTGGGCGAGAAGCCTGGTCGTAACGTGTTTGCGATGATCTGGAAAATGGAGGTAAGGGATTGTGCGAGGCTGTAGATGAGAGTGCAGGGGAGCTGAGTGGATATGTGATGATGGCAGCGGCGATGAGGGCGTCGGCAGCATCCGCGACAAGGGAGTGGCAGATGTGGGAGATGCTGCAGAGGTGGCGGTCAAAGGTCGTGAAAAGTAGTTCAGAGATACGGGAAGAGCCTTTTCGGACTTTTTCAAGCCGAGGAAGGTTTTCGGTCGGATGGAAACTTGCAGGAATATTTAGATCCAAGTACTTTCAGGATGAAAGTCTTGTGAGCTTGGAAATGCATTAATGAAGAAATTGGCAAACCTGGTAATGCAGTGGACCAGGGTTTATAGGCCGTTGAGGGGTGAGTTTGGTCGATAGATGGAGACTTTTATTCGTGCTACCAAGCAAGTGGTTGTGTCCAACTGTGTCCATTCATCATGGATTTTGTCAAGGGCTAGGGTGTACAGTTTCCAATATTTGCAGTTCTATCACGTTTCTCTGGGACTGCTCAATAACGTGGTGTAGACATTCTATGTGTGTTGAACTTCTTCCACAACTTACGTAGCCAACAGCGCCAATCGGAGGTGTGGGGGAAGCACAACTAAACACAAAAAGCAGTTGTAAAGAAATGAGTTTTAAATCTAGATTATTTAAAAGTTAATAGTTCCAGTGCATTCCTAATTTCAGAAGAGCGTTCCAGACGGCCGCAGAAGCGCATCTGAAAGCGCGCGATGCGGCGACCGTCTTTGTTCGATGGCCAGCCAAAAGCCGTTGCTGTGAAGGTGACCGGAGTTCGGATAATGGTTTCTGCTCCTAGAAGCGCTGATGAACAGATCGGACACATCCAGACCTCTTATCTACACCCCCCCCCCCTAAAATATTGCCTGCTCAACACTCGTCTATGTGCATGCGCGTGTGTGCGTGTGCGTGTATGCATGCGCGTGTGTGCATGCTTGAACTTACGGTCGTGAAAACTCGCTGAGGAACAGCACTCCAGCTCACAATTCCTGAGAGCCGTTTCCCACAACCACCCGTGGAACTGCCAGCACTGCGCGGTGATGCGTTGTTGAACGTACGAGAGGAGTGCACGAGAATCGTTGGCAGCGATGTTCCCCCAGACACGTTTCTCAAGACTGAATGGATGGTTGGAGTGCCAATTTACTTGTTTCCCCAACCACTCGGTTTTTTCAATATATATTTTAAAAATCTGCTTATGACCATAAATTCACAAGAAGTGCACCTTATCCGGTCAGATTGTGGAAGCTAAGCAGGGTTGAACCATTGTTACGCTGTACTTCTACGATCCCACATCTATGCCCCTCACCTTTATCTCGTATTGTCAGATAACCTCTCTCCAGCCTGCAGTGCGGAGAGGCCCTCATCCACCAGATGAGTGACAGAGGGGTTTCTGCACGTGTACAATACAAGTCTGCAAAACTAGCAACGAATTTTACACCATGGAATGAAGAGGAGAGCTGGAAACTAAACTATTTTTAATTTTACCAGGTAAGGCCCACCGAGATACACAGGTCTTTTTCAGAAGCGACCCGGCCACATATGATAGCTCAACGAAGTGGCTTATCGTGTGGAAATTTAATAGGCGCAAAATAATTTGAATGGACCCGAGGAAAATCCACGCGACCACATGGAGAGAGAGACATGCAATCTCAAAATATACAGCAGGTGTCAGGGTCGGGATGGAGGCCACAACTTCCTGCATACCAGGCGAGGTTGTTAACATCTTGCCACCGCGGTGCCGGAACCATCCCCGTGTGTCTGTGTGGTGCGCTGGCAGGCGAGGTTCTCCGATGCTGCGTGGGCTCGAGTTTGGTGGCGGAGGGGCGGCGGCCATGCCGTACCTCGTCGCGGGCGGCCTGGGTCTGCTGCTGCTCTACCGCCTCCTGCGCCGGCTGCAGCGCCGCACGCGCAGCCTCCACGGCAAGGTGGTGGTGGTCACGGGCGCCAGCTCGGGGCTCGGACTGGGTGCGTGTAACAGAAGACTCGCGCTTCGCCTTGATCGTCGTCATTGTCATCATCGGCCATGGTTTATCCCTCTATGTTTGCTGAACTTATGCACCGTACGTAGCCAACCGTGCTAATCGGAGGTGCGGGGGAAGGACAACAAACTAATCACAAAAAGCAGTTCTAAAGAAATGAGTTCTCAGTATGCATTTAAAATTTTCATAGCTCCAATGGATTCCTAATATCGGAAGGAAGGACGTTCCAGACGGCCACAGAAGGGCATTTGAAAGCGTGCGTTGACGTCCTTGTTCGACGGCACTTGCCCCAGCAGCCCGTGTACACTATATGGAGGATCTTTGTCTTCGTGTGCCTGTGCGTGCGCGACAGCGTGTGCACGCGCGTTCCATGCGGAGGGAGCGAGGCTCGTGCTGTGCGGACGCGACCTGCAGAGACTCGAATCTCTACGCGATGAGCTCTCGGAGAGAGTACGTATACTTGCTCTGCAGTCCACCACACACACACACGTGACTCAGCGGCTCCGCTATCAGTGTGCAGGTGGTGCAACTGCACCAGGAGCCGGAAAGGCCCAGTCATTCAGCTACAAGGGTGGGAGGGGGGGGGGGAAGGAAAATGGATGGGCCAGGGGGCTTGGTGACATTCCCCGCACAAAGACCTAAACCAACCTCCACTCCGTCACTGTGCGTCACCCACAGGGCCCAGAGGACCGTGCCCCACGCGTGGTGCCCTTTGACCTGGGCTCGCCCGGCGAGGTGGCGAGGGCGGCGGAGCGGGTGGTGGCGGCGCACGGACGCGTCGACGTGCTTGTGAGCGGCGCGGGGATCAGCTACCGCGGGGAGGCGGCGCTCACCGCCATGGACGTGCACCGCCAGCTCATGGAGGTCAACTACTTTGGTGCCGTCGCCCTCCTCACGGGTCAGTCGCCCCTCGCGCATCTACGGATCTCGGCCGTCGGCCAACGGCGACTCGCGTGCGCTCGTGCATGCAGCAGCAGCAGCAGCAGTCCAAGTCAAATAACGATTTGCTGCTGTGTGTGTGGAGGAGCGGTAGTGTAGCGGTTAGCACGCTGTACTACGAACCCGGCGACCCCAATTCGATTCCCGCTTACGGCCAACACCAGTGATGATTATCTGAACCGGTCATGGGCCTCCCCAAGGTCGACTCAGCCTCAAATGAGTACCTGGTGCGGTTTGTAAACATTGCCGCTGGGGAGCTAAAGGCGGTCGGGCGTGGTGCTGTCCACCCACCCCCTTGTCTTTGTGTGTACAAAGGCGGTCACCGCATCGCGCGCTTGCGGCCGTCTGGAACGCTCTTCCTTCAAATATTAGAAAGCCACTGGCGCTATGCACTTTTAAATCTAGATCGAAAACGAATTTCTTTAGAGCTGCTTTTTGTGTTTAGTTTGTCCTTCCGCCACCCCTCGGATTTAGCACGGTTGGCTACGTACGGTGCGAAAGAAGTTCAACGCACGTACACATACGCATGTTTATTTAATGCAGACCGCCTTGTTGTGACTTTGGTTGGTGTCGCCCCGTAACCCTGCGAGAGCTGTGCGTGCTGTGCGTGCTGTGCGTGGCTGTGCGTGCTGTGCGTGCTGTGTGTGGCTACTCCAGCCCTCCTGCCGTCGATGCTGAAGCAAGGAGAGGGGCACATCGTGGCCATTAGCAGCGTGCAGGGCCGCATCGCCATTCCCTTCCGTTCTGCGTGTAAGCATTTGAGCAACCTGCACGCCAACACACACACCGCGCATGCCACCGTACCGCGAGCACCGCGCACGCCAACACAGACCTGTTTCAACACGGTGACGCAACCTGTCGCGCCGACTCTGCGCGCAGATGCCGCCTCCAAGCACGCCACGCAGGCGTACTTCGACAGCCTGCGCGCCGAGGTGGCCGACTCGGGGCTGAAGGTGACGGTCGTGAGCCCCGGCTACATCCGCACCAACCTCTCGCTCAACGCGCTCACGGCCGACGGGACGCCATACCACGGTACGGCGACCGCCACGTGCCACACGCCACAGACAAAGAATCCCCCCCCCAACCCTCAACAGACTTTTGGGGCAAGTGCCTCAACGCGGTGGTTGTGTTTCCGAAGAACACCCCGTTATGAAAAAATCGCGTTATAAGCGCGGTCCGCGATAACGCGTGAGATGCGTAATGCAGGCCGAGCAAAGACTGAGGCGTGTTTGTAGCATCTCGTAGCATCCAGCACCATCCCCAATGCATTGTGATGCTACGCCGGGCAGCCGTATGACCGATTATTCCGACCCGCGCGACCTAATTCCCTTCCCTCAACCGCATTATAGCCAGTTCATATCCGCGTTATAAAAAATGTGCTCCCCAATATATTCATCGCATTATATCCAATTCAACGTTATGAAAACATCACACGTTATTGGGGAACAGACCATTTATAAATGCGGGGACAGCATCACGCCCGACCGCCTTTGTCTCCATAGTGGCAATGTTTACACACTGTACAAGCTACTCATTTGAGGCTGAGTCGACCTAGAGGAGGCCCAGGACCAGCTGAGATAAATTGTCAGTGGTGCTGCCCGTGGGCGGGATTCGATTTCGGGAGCGCAGTGAATGACAGAAGAGAAAAAACCCAGAACAGAAAAATGAGTGCACCCTGGACACAAAATAGATTCAGCAGCACACGGAGATGTGCAGAGCAAGCACAGCTCCTGGGCCTTATCCACACCCCCAGCTCAAAAGCACTGGGCATTCTGTCGTTTAGACCAGCGGCTCAGTTGAGAAAATGTGGCCAACCAACAGGCAAGCAGTGAAACAGTCGCTCTCGACAGATTTCCTTCCATCGAAGGACTCATCAGTCCAGCAGTCATCCACAAATATGGAGTGGACTGTAACCTTCACGCGATCGTAATCCCCGGGAGCAGTTGCCTCAAGGCAACAATGATTACAATCTGTAAATGACTCGAAAAGCCATCGCAAGAGCGAAAGGAGTGGGCGAGCAGGCCAGAACACAATGGAGTTCTCAACACGCTTAAGAGATGTGCGTCGCGTGTACAAAAAGCTCGGCCTTATTCCCAAAACCGCCATCCATCACTGCCCGACCACGGGCGCAGTGCTGCGTGCGTTGCACTGCATGCATTGTGCGCTGCGTTGCTTTGTGCGCTGCGCTGTGCGCTGCGCTGAGTGTGCTGCGTTGTGCACTGCGTTGTGAGCTGCGTTGCGTGCCTTGCGCTGCGTGCATTGTGCTGGGTTGCGAGCTGCGTTGCTTTGTGTGCTGCGTTGTGCGCTGCGCTCGCCACGTGGTGCAGCGATGGACGCGAACACGGCGGGCGGGCGCTCCCCGGACAGCGTGGCGCAGGACGTGGTGGGGGCGGTGCTCGATGGCCGTGCCGAGGTGGTGTCGGCCGGGCTGGCGCCGACGGCCGCCGTCTACCTGCGCACCCTGCTCCCGTCGCTCTACTTCATCCTCATGGCGCGGCGCGCGCGCTCCGACAGGAAGAAGGCCGAGCAGGCGTGACGGCGCCGTTGCTCTCCTCTCCCCCCACCCCCCACAACACGCGGAAAGTTTGAGATGCTGACAAAGCAGAATGAGATGGAACATGTATCTACGTCCCGTATGTTGAACTTCTTTTGCACCGTACGCTGCCAAACAGTGAATCGGAGGTGCGATGCAATACGGACAAATGGAAGTGACCGAGAGACAATGAGGACAGAGACACGGAGACGTAGAAGGGGAAAGGCGTAGATGGAGAGACAGAAGCGTAATGTGCACATTGTGAATAGGGGCCAGTGAAAAGGGACTGGTGAAGATAACTGCTTTCTGTGTTTAGTTTGTTGTCCTTCCCCCACACTTCCGATTAGCACGGTTGGCTACGTACGGTGCAAAAGAAGTTCAACATGCATACATACAAGAGGAACTGGTGAATAGGGGCTGGTGAATAGGGACTCACAAGCTGCTCACACTTCCCCGTTGTGCTTTTATTTTTGATGCCTGACGTTTTATGATTTCCCAGTGGGTTTATTTTCATAAAAACAAATGCAATGCCAAGGTTATGCACAACTGGACAAGTACGCAAGGAAAGGTTAGAGTGAACTCCATGGCATGTATGCTCAATGCCAGGAAGGTTGGCCGTTCCAGATGTAGCCGTGTTTCTCACCCCGGTCACATCCATGTCAATCGTAAAACGAACATTTTAATATGCTCACAAAACGTATGCAGTAACAGTATCGCAAACTTTACAAAATGTACGATTAAATTCAATTTGGTGCTGCTGATTTTTACTTTGCCAAAGTTTAAAACACATAAGCTCTTTTAAATGTATTTGAAATGTCGCTTGGGATGTCTAAAAGAAACGTTGACTTGAAATAAAGTGGCATAATATTATGTTTCCAGACAATTCAAAGTCAATGGAACTGATTACAGAAATTGCATTAAATGCAGTAATTGCAGAAAATAAAATCACTTGCTATTTTCACTTTGTCTGACGCTGCCTCCATTGGCGTTTTGAAAAATGCCGAGATTGACCGTTAACATGATTTCAGGTTTTTCTTAATTTATTCATCGTTCATAGAGCACAAATAGGCATTTCATCACCGCTGAGTCCAAAGTTTTACACATTTTATGCCTGTAATTTAAAACAGAACTCTACCCAAAACATAAATCTCCTGGCATCACACGCCTAGGATGCCAAAGGTGCTGGTGATTCAGTGCTCTGGCACATCCACCACCACCACCCCCACCCCGAGCTGCGGCCACGGGTTCCGTTCCTCACGCCTTCCCCATCGTGGGAGTTCACGGCACGAGCCCACGGTAGCGCAGCATCAGTCCTCCGCCTCCACCATGTTAGCAATGCTCATTTTAACGCTTTCACTTTAGATGCCTTTGTAGATCCACTGCTGGATTTGTGTTGTTCACGGGGCTTGTTTGATCATACTTCACCGTGCTGGCCAGTGGGTGTTGGTGAACGTATGTATGTGGTGTTGGCCACCCACCCCCTCGTGTGCTGTTTCTGGTCTTCATAGGTGCTACTCGCTAACAGCACTTGCCCCAACAGTCTGTTAAGGCTATACGGGGGGGATCTTTGTTTAACTTCTTTAGCACCGTCCGTAGCCAACCATGCTAATCGGAGGTGTGGGAAGAGGTTGGGGGGGGTGTCTCCAGGATCGGTTCAGATAACACTCGCCACGACCGGGAATAAAACTTGGGTCCCCGGGTTAGCGGTGCGGTGTGCTAACAACAACTGCCCCGCCGCTCCGCGCATTCGAGGCCCGGCCCGGTGGCGGCACCGCTGGGGACCGCCCGTGTCCGCTGCTCCCCTGGCCACGCTGCCCAACCCCCTCAGCTGCCGTGCTCGAGCAGCAGCTGAGGGTCGTGCGACGTCACGAGCAGGAAGACACGGCGGCTCAGCTCGGGCCCCACGCGGCGCGACGTGGCCACGACGCCCTCACCACGCCGCACCAGCAGATCGGCGAGCAGGGCCACACGCTCGCGATCGCTCCCGCAGCGCGCGTACGCCTGCAGGGGCACGCAGCAGCAGCAGTAGCAGCAGCAGTAGCAGCAGCAGTAGTAGCAGCAGTAGCAGCAGTAGCAGCAGTAACAGCAGTAACAGCAGTAGCAGCAGCACCGCATGCTCCGATTAGCACTTTTGGCTAGGTACAGTGCGGAAGAAGTTGAACGTGTATGCGATTAGCGCTGCCGTGATACCGTTTTCACGCTGCGGTATAACATTTCACGACACCACGGCTGTACAGACATTAAAGCGATTTGCCGCTCAAGTGAACATTGAGGCGTTGCACATGTTCTGTTTCCAGCCCGGAGCCAGCGGTGGAAACTCCACATTCCTATGGCGGGGTGAGTCTCTCCATCGAACATCCACTGTTAACATCCCCACAAAGAGGTATATAGATATCTTCTAGTTTATAAAAACGTAATTGTATTTCACATTTGTATTGTAATGTTTTTGTTCACTCGACATAACCCTGCCTAGAGTCTTCTAATCCGTAGGGAGGGTGCCCGGCGCACCCTGTCCTCGCTAGACATTAACATTTTAACATTCAAGCAAAAATACTCTTGGAAGCACAGATTAGAAGAAGCAAAAATCGAACCTAAGAGAATACAATATGGCCAAATATATTACATTACAAGTAATAATTTTTACTTTACAAGAGATAGCAGGCAAAATGACATAAAACATGACCTCATAACTCGCTGGCCTGTGCCGTGGCCAGGAGATGGTGAATCGGTTCATGAAGCTGCCTGGGTGGACATTTGAGTATTGCCCCTCTGTACGCGTGGGCTCTCACTGGCAACTCCACTTTGCTCCTACACACAAAACACGCCCCCCCAAAATGGAAATTGGCTGAATATCACTCCATTGAGACATTTGCCCAAATCCTTCTGAAGAAATCTCAAGACTCGGGAAGACCATTTTGGATAATTCGCCGTTATTTACACGTGACATAATTATTTCCAAAACAAAACGCGATGGCCGCAAAGACAAAAGCAACGCGTCGTTAAGCAGCGCGGTTGGGCCTGAGTTATCCCCTTCATGTCACCCCCCCCCCGCGGCCACACGCACCTGCAGGAGGAGCCGGGGGGAGGGGAACGCACGCACGACGGCGCTCGCCATCTCGGCGCTGACGCGGTTCAGCTGCTGCAGCTGACGCTGCCACAGCTGCAGGTATCCGCGGCCGTCCCGGTCCACGCGCACCCCGCCCGCCCCCTCGCTCTCCACGCAGAACGCCAGGCCCGTCGCCTCCCTCTCCCTCCTGCACACGGCCCCCACGATTAATGTGGAGATAAACACACGGCCACCGGAACTGTGCCCTCTTAAATCATCTCGATTGAAAAAATAATTATAACTGCTTTTTGTGTTTAGTTTTTTTGTCCTTCCCCCGCACCTCCGATTAGCACGGTTGGCTAATAAGTTCAACAAATGTATAGCAAAGACAAAGATCCCCCATAGAGCCTTAACAAACTGTTGTTAGTAAGTCTGAGCATTTCTTATTGCACCATCACGAATTTGCACTAATCACACATGTTGTCAGCTCTTTGGAACAACACCGTTTTAAACTCTATTGAAAAACTAGCTGTCATATCGCCACACGAGGTTAATGTGCCGGGGGTACATCAGATCACCGTGGGCTGCAGATTGTAGACGGCATCGATTTGGGTCTATCGAGACCGGTACACGCTGATCTTGTACAACAAATAGGCACAGTTTGTAAGCAATTATGTATTTAATAGGTAGCCAGTGTAGCTTACTGGAATGGCACGCGAGGGAATGGGTGACCAGCACCATGCCTGGCCGATAATTACACACATGTACTTGTTCAGGCTGAGTCGACCTAGGGAATGCTTAGGACCGGTTCAGATAATCGCCACCGGTGTTGGCCGTGAGCGAGAATTAAACTCGGGTCACACTGAGTTCGTAGAAGAGCGCGCTAACCGCTGCACCACCGCTCCCCACTCACACACCCACGCCTCACCTAACTCACCGCCGCTCACATGGGCATCGCTGACCCCCAAATCGGATTGCATCAAACGCCGGCGTTGATGTGCACAGCGTTGCTCGTGCCGTGAAAGCAAAGCGGAAACAGCTGCGCATCTCTCACTTGTAGGGAGCCACGGCGATGGCCTTGGTGAACATGGCCACAAAGTCAGCAAACTCCTTCCACGAGTCCAGGAAGCGCACCGCCGTGCTGGTGTGCAGCTGCAGGTCCACGAGCGCCTGGGGGACGGACACACGGGGACCCACCGCACAAGCCTCCTCCTCCTGCCCCATCCTAACCCCCCTCTCCTCCCCCTTCTCCTCCCTCCTCCTCACAGACGCAGCACACACACAGAGGATATGTGCCCAGCCAGAGACGCCCAGCCTCACCTCCTCCATGTCCACCCGGGACACGTCGACTTTAGCTGGCATTGCTCGCTTGTTCCTCCTCTTCCTCGCCATCTCCGCTGCAGTACCCTCCGCCGACTCTTTACTCGGCTTCTGTCCCTTGGTTTTCTGGCTGTTGCATTTTCAAAAGAACATGGTCACCAATGTGTACTGGAAGGTCGTGGGTTCGATCCCAGTTTTGCAATAGACTTTAAAAGTGTTGTTCCAAAGAGATGATGACGTGTGATTAGTGCACATTCGTGATGATGGAATGGACTGCGATAAGAAATGCTCAGACTTACTCAATAACAACAGTCTGTGAAGGCTATACGGGGATCTTTGTCTTTGCTGTACGTATGCTGAATTTCTTTCACACCGTACGTAGTCAACTGTGCTAATCAGAGGTGTGGGGGAAGGACAACAAGCTAAATAAAAAAAAACAGTTCTAAAGAAATTAGTTTTCAATCTAGATTTAAAAGTGCATAGCTCCAGTGGCTTCCTAATACCGGAAGAGCGTTCCAGACGGCCGCAGAAGCGCATCTGAAAGTGCGTGATGCGGTGACCGTCTTCGTTCGATGGCCAGCCAAGCCCCGCTGCTGTAAAGATGACCGGAGTTTGTGTGATGGTTTATGCTCCTTGACGAGACCGGCGAGGTATTGGTGGTTCACTTGTGGCAAGCACTTTGTGTGTAATGAGAAAGCCGTGCACCAGCCGACGTGCCCGTGGCCCCTCACTTGAAATACTTGTCGACGTCCACAACGGCCAGCGTGACGGCGCACTGTGGATGGGCCGCCATCACCGTGGACACAAACCCCCTGAGTGAGAGGTGGCAGCCGCTGTCCCCGGAAGATGCCACCTGCTGACGACACGGAGAGGAGAGAAAAATCGCAAATCGCTTTCGCGAGACTGAAAAGGAAAAGCACGTCGGTTGGTTATATCCCTTCGACACAAGCTTCATCACTCAGCTTG